CACACACACACACACACACACACACACACATACACATACATCTAACATCAACAGTCTCTATGTTGCTGTTTAATTGGATAGGAATTAGGTTAAACTTTGTTTTCTCTGAAATAATTATCTAGAATACTCACATAATACAATAAATTTATGCAGTTCAACATTATTTTTAATTATAAATCATGTAGTGTTCAAGATTTATTTCATATGTTCTGTGAATAATTACAAAATCCATATTCAATTTATTAGAATTTCATAGACTTTAATATTTTATTAACATAGATCACTTGACTTTTAATATTTAGAACTTAAATTGCAAAATGTAAATTTTAAATGAATAGAGAAGATCTCTATTGAGATTTTCATCAACCAAGAGCATCTATATGAAATTTATAGAACATGCTTGACAACAATAATAGAACACATGGAAAACTATTTACTGTTTTTACTTTTTATCCTGAATGTTGGAGACAATCAGTAAATAGATAGAAATTCTGGAAAGAAAAAGAGTATTATTTCCTAACTACATTAATGAGACTGCACAAATTTTAGGCTTAACCCTGAACCAAATGCCTATGGTTCAGACTAAAACAGACTTTAGCAAAAGCTTAAATGCTTATTTGAAATTTGAAAAAAAAAACAAAACACATGTGTAGGTAAGATTTGGCTCATGGTCTAAGTATAAAAGGGTACACTGTTTACTACAACAATTTATCTATTAGACCAAATCCCCAAAGGATTATACTAGAACTCAGAGTTAAACTAATATATATCTATACAGTCCAGAATACAATTCACCTATCCTGAATTGTAGATTAATTACTACAAAGAACTAGTAAAATATATTCCATTCTGGAAAAAATAAGATAATCAGTCATTGCCAAATCCAAGCAGATTCCAATACTGGTATAATCAGATAAAGACTTTAAAGCAAACAGTTAAACAATAATTTCTGAAATAAAAGGAAGAAAAACACAATAAACAAAAAGTTAAGAAAGCCCACAGAAAAGCATAAAATATATATCTAAGGTGAAAATTTAAGATAGAAATACATTATGCAACTGAAAAGAATTCACTGATTGGGCTTAAAAATATAATATAGATTACACAGTGGAAATTAGAATAATAAAATTATGTAATATTTAGAATAAATAGTTATGTATCTAAAAAAATAGCAGAGTCTCCAACATTCAGGATAAAAAGTTAAAGCTCTAGCATATGTGTGATTAGATTCTCAGAGGAACACTCAGAAAGTGATTTTTTTTTAAAAAAAAATATGAAGATCAATTCAAAGAAAATCACAACCGAATCTATGCATTGTGAAAGAATGAACATAAAAATACAAAAAAGTGACTACATTTAAAAATGAAAACAAAAATGTATAAAGAGTATACATTTTAAAATAACAGATATTTAAATATAAAAATAATAATATATAAAAATAAAAAAACGATAAATGTCTGGATGTTTATTCTACAAATATCACTAGTAGTTATTTTGGGTTTTTTTTCTGTTTTTATAAGTTTTTTTCTCTTTGATTTTCAGAAAAGCAGTATTAATATTAACTATTATTAATTTTCTACAATCAGTGTGAGAGGAAAAATTCAACCTTACTATGTTATAATGCCTAAAGTACTGCTAAAATAAAAGAAGGTGTGGTTTTGTTTGTTGCATTATTTTTCATTAGAAATAAAAACATCAAGTGTTTAAAGGTCATCACA